GGTCTCTGTGGGGGCCCTAGGAGGCGCTGTGCACAGGGAGCGGGGCAGGGGGCTCTGTGGGGGCCCTAGGAGGCGCTGTGCACAGGGAGCGGGGCAGGGGGCTCCGTGGGGGGCCCTAGGAGGCACTGTGCACAGGGAGCGGGGTGGGGGGCTCCATAGGGGCGCTCTCCCCTCGGGGGCAGGGCTGGCCCCACTGCGGCACTATGGGGTGCTGTGCTGCAGGGAGTGGGGCGCTCTCCTCTCTGGGCTGTGGGGGAGGGGAACTCTCCCCTCCTAGTCAGGGTGGCAGGGGGGGCGGGTTATGCCACTGAGATCTGTGGGTCAGGGGCCGGGCTGCTGGGTGGGCCCATTCGGCTGGGCTCGGGGCGTCACCCCAAGGTGGGTGCGGCCGGGCTGCCACTCTACATCCGCGCTGCCGGATCTTCTCCTTGGCTTCCTGTGCTGCGTGGCTGTCAAACGGCTGCCGCGTCCCTCCCCAGAGGTGGCTGCATTTGTGGGCCGGGCGACGGGCATCCCTGTCAGCCATTGTCCAGACAGCGTCCGGCGGCCCTGCTGGAGGGGAAGGGACTGGGACGGGGCTGGTGGAACCTGCTGCTGGTTAATAATTTGCCACTTCCCCATTCCAGCCCGGACTCCAGCCTGCCCCGCCCCTGGTGGACATGCTGCCCCCGGGCACCGCCCTCGGTTCCTGGACAATCCTGGGCAGCGTTTCCTGCCAACGCCCCCCCTCCCCGCTTGTGAAGTCTGGTCCCTGGCCAGTGCCAGCCAAGCCCATGGAGGAAATCGTCTTTGTTCCCATTTGCCGCCCGAGGGAGACGAGGGGCTGCCCCAGGGCAGAACTGTAACCCCACCCCCTGCTGCCAATGCTGTTATGTCCAGCTCCGTGCCAGGAGGTCCCCCCTCTCGCCCTGCCATGCTCCGGCTCCAAGGGGGTCACTCGATACCCCACCAATGTGCCCGCCCCTGAGGGCAGCCAGGACTAACCAGCCCCCCCATTTGTCCCAGGCTCAGCGTCTCTGGTGAGCTCAGCGCAGGGTCCTGCAGGGCGGGGGCGGGGGGGGGGAGGCGGCGTGCCCCTGGCTGTGGGTGACAGACAGGAGGTGCCAGCCCATGGGTCTGGTCGCTCGCCAGCCCTGCTGTGTGATTGGCGGGGGCTGGGGAGGGCTGTGCAGCGTGGTCTGGTTTGTTATTGTAGGGTCTTCCGTGGGCTGGGCACACTGGTTGGGGGTTGTTAATTTTGCAGTTTTTTGTATTTCGGCGTTTTGTAGGGATTTGGGGGAGGGAGGATTGGCCGAGCCGATGTCACCTGCCCTGGCCCGGGGCGGCTCAGTGTCCCCCTCTAGTGGTGAGGCCGTCAGAGGCTGGCGTGTCCAGCACCGCGCGTCCCGGGTTGGAGCCTGGCTGGTGCCTGGCGCGAGGCGTCGTCACAAATACCAGGGCAGCCTGGGCTGGTTTGATGGGGAAACGCAGCCAGTAAATCCCCCGATCTGTGTGTGCATGTCCACCTGTGCGTGTGTCCACGCGTGTGTGTGTCGCGTGTGGGTGCACACGCGTGTGGGTGCATAAACCTGTCCCTGCAGGGGGCCGTGTCGTGTACACACGCAGTCTCCATGCGCGCTCTGCAGGGCTGAGTGTGTGGGTGGCCGGCGGCTCTGGCCCCACGGCGGCTGCATTCCTGCCGGCCGCTCTCTAAATATTTGTGCGTTCGGACACACAATCCCGCCAGCCTGCGTCAGCGCTCACCCGGGGCGGTTCCTGCGCCAGGCCTCCCCCGCCGTCCCAGGCAGGGCCCCTGCCGCCCGCTGGCAGGAAACGGGGGCTGGGCGGGGGCCAGGAGCTGATCTCGGACCCGAGGGGGGCAGAGGCAGCGAGCTGGGGAGGCCAGAACTGTGGGGGTGTCACCCAGCAGCCACCCACCGGCATCCTGTCCCCATCGCCCCGGTGCAGTGACCCCGCCCCCAGATGTGGCTGGCATTCCTGGGGGGGGGGGCGGAGGCTGGGTTGGATCCCCGGCTGGCCCCGGTCACGCCCGGGCAGGGTGAGAAATCGGACGCTGGGTGAATCGTGGGCAGGGGCACGTGCCAGCCCACAGCTCCGCCAGAGACTCCGGGCAAGGGGAGGGGCCTGGGCTGGGCTGGCACGGAGGGGAGGGAGATGCCAGGGTGATCGGCCGTGGCAGCTCCCGCGGATACAGATTTAGCCACGTGCCTGTGGCACGGCACAGCTGGCAGGGGTGTAGGGGGGTGTCCGTGGCCTCATCTCCCCCTCCCTCACCCGCTGTGTCCTGGCCACATGGTCCCTTCAGCTGCGGGAGGGAGGGGCCGGCTGGGATCTCAGGGGGACGGCTGCAGTGGGGAGGTGGGGGGCAAGTGTGGGTGGGATCGAGCCCTGTTCGATGGGGCTCTGCTGGCAGGACAAGCGACCCCCCCCCCCGAGTCCAGGTGTGAGGAGCAGCCAGGCCTTGGGCACGCGCCCGGTGGGTCTGAGCCCCGGGATGGGCCCGTGGCCGGGTTTCAGGCCTGTCTGTCTCTGCCCAGGGGCTGGGCACCTTGTCCACACTTCCCGTGGTGCCCAGGGGCTGGGACCTTGCGTGGGGCCGGCAGGGCCTGATCTCTCCACACAGGCGCAAAAGGGTGCAATGGGGGGTTAATGTGCTTGGGGGTGAGACTGGCAGGTCACTGGCCATCGTTCCCAGTTCGCTGCAGGGCAAGGGAAGGTGCCAGCGGCCCCCTGTATCCAGTGCGGGCCGAGCTGCTCCACTCACAGCGGGGGGAAGAGTGGGGGGAGGAGCGGTTCTGGCACTGAGGATCGGGGCAGCCGTTCATCCCAATGGCCCAGGTTTGAGTCAGATTTGGTGGGGTTAGCAGGGGTCTGCAGGTCGGGAGTGAGGGGCACCAGCAGAGCTGAGTGGGCAGGGCTGGGATAACCGGGGGCTGCAGGTCGGGAGTGAGGGGCGCCGGCGGAGCTGAGCGGGCAGGGCTGGGATAACTGGGGGCTGCAGGTCGGGAGTGAGGGGCACCGGCAGAGCTGGAGAGGGCAGGGCTGGGATAACCGGGGGCTGCGAGTCGGGAGTGAGGGGCACCTGGCAGAGCTGGACAGGCAGGGCTGGGATGACCGGGGGCTGCGGGTCGGGAGTGAGGGGCAGCGGCATAGCTGGGGGGGGCAGGGCTGGGATAACCGGGGGCTGCGAGTCGGGAGTGAGGGGCACCTGGCAGAGATGGGGGGGGCAGGGCTGGGATAACCGGGGGCTGCGAGTCGGGAGTGAGGGGCACCTGGCAGAGCTGGACAGGCAGGGCTGGGATAACTGGGGGCTGTGAGTCGGGAGTGAGGGGCACCAGCAGAGCTGCGCAGTCTCTGGCTATCTCTAGTTGCCTGGTTTAGGCCCTGGATTTAGCCCCCAAGTGCGAAGATAAGAAGGAGAAAGCTCGGTGGCTGGAGACCAGGAGACCTCGCCCCCCCCCCCATGGACCCTCGCCCCCTCCCTCACCGGGCTTTAGTCTGGTTCCAGGCTGCGTATCGAGTCAGGCGGCTGTGGGGCTCAAGGAGCCTGTGCCGAGGGGCCGGGGCTCGCCGGCCCTGGCGTTCTCCCTGCCGGTTGCAGCCAGGCTGGCCGGGGCGCCTGGAGTCCGGCAGACGGATCCGAAGGAATCTCGTTATCTCAGGCCGGATTAAGCGTGTGGAGTGCTCGCCCCAAGTGGATTATGCAGGAGAGCAGGTTAATCCAGACCTGGCGAGAGACGTGGTGCAGCCGGCAAGTGCCGGGCGCCGCAGAGGGGTCTGAGGCCTGGGGAGCGAAGTGTGTGTGTGACGGTGGGTGGAGAGGGAAGGGACATTGGAGGAGTTGAAGTTGATATTAGCAATGGGGGAGCTGTGCAGAGCTGTGGAGGTGCCCAGGGCTGGGATCGCAGGGGGCTGCAGGGCGGGAGTGAGGGGCACTGGCAGAGCTGCGGCGGGGGGAGGGGGGAGCAAGGCTGGGCTGGCAGGGGCTACGGGTCGGGAGTGAGGGGCACCGACAGAGCTGGGGGGACAGGGCTGGGCTGGCAGGGGCTACGGGTCGGGAGTGAGGGGCACCGGCAGAGTTGGGGGGAGCCCAGGAGTCCTGGCCATGTTGGCAGTTCTGTGGGGTGACTTGTCCTGTCCGGCTGGGTGAACGTGGGGCTGTAGGGACCTGCTGGGTGGTGGGACCTGAGCCCTTGGGCTGGGGAGGGGTGGGGGGCAGGGGCTGCTCCCCCAAAAAGGGGATCCCCAGGGGCCAGCAGCACCTGGCTTCCTCCCATGTGGCTGGGCTGCAGCCAGCCCCCCTCCAGCCCCCTCCCTGTGGCTGGTCCCAGGTGCCAGCCCCCCCACCCCCCACTGCCTCCGATGCACTCGGATGGTCACCTGGGCGCACCCCCCACCCGACCGTCTCTGGCACACGCCCCACGGCACTTCCCATCCCCCCAGGGTGCCCCCCAAGACCATGCTCAGGCCAGCAGGCAGGGGGAGCCCCGGGCAGCCCTTAACTGCCCCCAATCCGACCCCTGGCCCAGCACCCCTCTGGGGCTGGGGCTGCCCGTCTCCATGGGAGCGCGCTGCAGGCGGGCTGGGCACGGGGTGGGGTGCCTGGGGAGGGAGGGGAGTCCGGGGGGGGCCACGCCGTGTGTATTAACCCCTTTTCTGCCTGTGCCCCGCAGGTGCTCACAGCCCATCGCCGTCCAAGAAGCCCCGGAACCGCAGCATCTTCCAGTCCCTGTTCTGCTGCCTCTGCCATGACGCCTCGGACCCCGTCCCGGTCAACAACAACGCGCCCCTGCTGGTGGAGGAGAACGGCGTCGTGCCCAAGGTAGGGGGGGCCCGGAAGTGGGCAGGGGGCACTTCCATGGGCAACCCCCTGGCCCCCCGGACCCAGCTCACGGGAATCCTGCTTCCCTGGGATGAGCCCCTCAGGCCGGCCTGGCTCCGCGCCCGCCCCTCTGCCCGCCTGGCCGTGCCAGGCCCCCCAGGGCCTCGCCCCAGGGAACTCAGCAGCCCGAGCGCTGGAGGCTGCCCAGATGGGCACATGCCCCCTCCCCCCCGGTATCCTTTCCCTCCTCATCCCGGCCTCTCCAGGACCCTGTGCCAGGCCTGCCCGCTGTCCCAGCAGCGCTTTGGGCCACAGCCTCTCCGGGATCAATGGGGCTGAGGGGGCACCAGGCTCCCACAAGCTGTTCCCTCCGGCAGCATCCCTCCCCCCCCCGCCTGGGGGCCATCACTCCCCTTCCTCCCCCCACAAAGACGGGGATCCCCAAGGGCTCTGGGATCTGCTTGGGGGCAGTTTCTCTCGTACCCACCCCCCTTCCCATGGATAGTACGCGCTCAGGCGACGCTTTGGGATGGGGCCGGGGTCATGCCCCCCATCAGCTGGGGCAGGGGCAAGCCTCGATGCTGGCACAGCACATGGCAGAGGCAGAAGCCAATGCTGGGAGTATAGGGGACGCTGCCGAGTGGGACCCCCCCAGGTCACAGGCTGTCCCTCCCCCTGGGGCCCCCAGATGCCGGGGTCCAGCCACGCTGGCCCGGGCCAGGGCAGGGAGTGAGCAGTGACCCTGTATCCCGGCGAAACTGGAGGGGGGCAGAATCGAGTCACCTGGGGGGAAACTGAGGCTGGGCCCTGGGGTTGGTGCCGTGAGGCTGGGCAAAGTGCCAGGGGGGTTTTAACGGCCACGGACGGGAGTTTGACACCTAGGCTGGACAATGGTAAATCCACAGCCTGGTCCCTGCCAGGGGAGAGCGCTCCCTGCTGACCCCCCTGCCGCTCCCTGCAGCACAGCGCCCCCTAGCGCCCCCGGGAGGGGAGAGCACCCCCTGCTGACCCCCCACCCCCTGCTCCCTGCAGCACAGCGCCCCCTAGCGCCCCGGGAGGGGAGAGCGCCCCCTGCTGACCCCCCCCCCCGCTCCCTGCAGCACAGCGCCCCCTAGGAGCGGAGAGCGCCCCCTGCTGACCCACCCTGCTCCCTGCAGCACAGTGCCCCCTAGCACCCTCCGGGAGGGGAGAGCACCCCCTGCTGGGGGAGCTGTCGCTCGGCCATGGGCAGGCGCTGTGCTAAGCCCACTGGGGCAGGGCAGATAGGGCCAGGATTTCCCGGCAGCCCTAGTGCCCCCTGCAGTCCTCGTCCCCAGGGCGCTGGGCCGGACGGCGATGCCCGGAGCCGGGCAGACAGGCAGCCCCCCCGCGCGCCCGTAATCCCCGGCTTTGCTCTAGGCCGATCAGCCCTGACCGCGGCTGCCCCCTTTCCCGGCTCCCCGGCCAGCTTTGAGTGGATTATTGGCCCCTGCGCCCAGGCAGGCGAAGGCAGCCGGCGCCCTCTGGTGCCCGGCAAAGCCAGCGCGGCTCCCTGAGCTCAGACAGCTCTTCCCAGCCCGGGGCGGCTCAGGGGGCTGCACGGTGCTGCCCCCGGGACCAGGGCTGGTGTGCGCCTGGCGGGCCAGTCACACTAGGCAGCAGTCAGTGATTGGCATTGCTAATGAGCCCCCAATGCAGCCACCTCTGGGGAGCAGCGCTGCAGCTGGGGAACAGCACACAGCAACACCAGCCTGCAGGTCAGAAAGGGCCGAGGGTAGGGGGCTGGGGCAGCATGTTCCCCATGGCCTGTGCCCGGGCCCACGTTTAACTGCCCTAAGCAAAGGGGCTCCCCCAACCCCGTTTCCCCGCCTAATGGGTCCCTGCTGCTGGGAAGTTTAGGACAGGAAGTGAGGGATCGCGGGCGGGGGGCGGGATGGTCTGGGCAGGCCTGCTTCTCTGGTTGGGATGTGGTGTGGGGCCCCGGGCTCTCCTGCCTCCTGGCCCACGGTGCCCACTGCCAGCCGGATACTCCAACGCCCGCCCCCCCCCCCCCGTCCTCCCCCCAGGCCGCTGTCAAGTACCTGCTGCCCGAGATCAAAGCCCAGGACGCCAGCAAGCTGTGTGTGGTCATCGATCTGGACGAGACGCTGGTGCACAGCTCCTTCAAGGTGAATCCGTGTCCTGGGGGTGCCCCTCCTCCCTGGCCTGCCCCGTGCCCCC